GCCTGGGGCTTCCCCTCCCCATCACTGAATCTGAGTTACATGGGTTGGGGTGGGTTCCAAGTCCAGCGGGAGTTGCGTGGACTAGTTCTGATGACTCAGTGTTGGTGGGGGTTTTGAATGTGTGTGTGTGTGTGTGTGTGTGTGTGTGTGTGTGTGTGTGTGTGTGTGTGTGTGTGTGTTCGCGCGCGCGCGCGCGTGCGCGTGTGTAAGTATGCAACCCCCGGGCTTACCCTGTGCTGTGGTAGCTGTGGACAGATGCAATCCCTGAACTCACTCTGTGTGGTTCAGGCTTCCAGGCTCTGGTGCTAACAGCCCTGTTGGTGGGGCTGGGGTTGCCAGCCGGGCTGCCCCTGGGGGCACTCCCTGAGATGCTCCTGCCCTTGGCCTTCGCGACCACCCTCACCAGCTTCATCTCCAGCCTCCTTCTCTATGCGAAGGCTTTGGCAGCTCCCGACTCGGCCCTGGCACCTGGAGGAAACTCAGGTGAGAAGGGTCCCAGTGAGGTAGGGGTGAGACAGACGGGATGCCTGCCTGTGCCTTCACTCTCTATTATCCCCCCCAGGAAATTCCGTTTACGATTTCTTTCTGGGACGGGAGCTGAACCCTCGCCTTGGTTCCTTTGACTTCAAATATTTCTGTGAGCTGAGACCTGGCCTCATCGGCTGGGTATGCTGGGCATGCTGGGCGTGTGTGTTTAACCATGCTGGTCTTGGGCCAAGCGAAGGGTAGGGTGGGCTAGCATTGTTGGGTGGACAGCAGTCATCATTCATTCACTTGCCAATATGTTGCTCTGCCATGGAAGTCACCCAGTGGGGTCTTAATACCAAATCTTAAAAAAAAAAAATTAGGTAGAGAGCATTTGGCTACCACACAAAAAGCCCTTGATTCCAACCCAGCACTACAAAACTAAATATATACAGCAGATTCTTGTGTGTGTGTGGGGGGGGGAAGCAGGCAGGGAGCTGGGAGAGCACATGAAGCTTTGGACGCAGCGGTCAGATACAAAACGGACTCCAAAGACAATGACCAAGCACTGAAGGGAGGGCCAGGCAGCTGGGTGCCTCCAGTGGACTGTCGGATTTAACAACTTGCCTGCCATTGGTGGCCTTGGCCACACACCAGCTGTTCTTGGGTTAGGATCATACATACATGGACGATGGTGGGGATTCCAGAGAGACTCAGGCAAGGCCCTGTTTTCACCTTGCAGATCTTACACAGAGGCAGGAGCCAAGATCCCTCTATGAATCTGAGTTTGGGTTTGGTTTGGTTTTGAAACAGGTCTCACTAGGATAGCCCAGGCTAGTCTCAAAATCCAGGCCTTTTCTGCTTCTCTCAGCTACTCAAGTACAGTCACTGTAATCCACCAGGCCTGGTCCCACCACAGACCTGGAGACTGACCTGCCCACATACACACCAGACTCTGAGGTTACTTTCTCACTGGAGAAACAGGGTGGAATGAAGTGTTCTAAAATTACTGTGAGGGCTGGGGGTGGTGGCGCACGCCTTTAATGCCAGAACTGGGAGGCAGCAGCATGCAGATCTCTGTGAGTTCCAGGCCAATCAAGGCTACTTAGTGAGACTACCCCTCTAGCCCCGCCCCCAGACAGGGTTTCTCTATGTCACAGTTCTGGGTGTCCTGGAACACACTCTGGCTTCAAACACAGAGATCTGCCTGCCCCTGCCTCCCAAGTGCCCCTTTTTTTTTTTTTTTTAATTAGAGGTACCCTTAATGAAAGTCCACGTCAGTGTTACTGAAGAAGCTGCACTACCCAGTCCACTGGGGCTATTAAAACGAGGGTGCAAGTGCAGGTTCACAAGCTAATCCTTAGTTCTGCGGGCATTGTATAATTCTTTTTTTTTTTTTTTTTTTTTTTTTTTTTTTTTTTTTTTTTTTTGTGGTTTCCTTTTTCTGATTTTGCCCTTCTCTGGAACTCACTTGGTAGACCAGGCTGGCCTCGAACTCACAGAGATCCGCCTGCCTCTGCCTCCCGAGTGCTGGGATTAAAGGCGTGCGCCACCACCGCCCGGCATTGTATAATTCTTTAAACAGCAGCCCAAGGCAGGGCCCTTATCCCCATTTTTCACATGGCAGTGGACAGTGAGCTTTATCAGGGATACACACTCGGCACCAGTGACAAAGCTCAGATTCAAAAGCGGGAGTTCTAAGTATAGGCCGTTTCGACCTGTGTCCATTCAACACGTGAACTGACGGCTGAGGGAAGGGGAGAGGTTGACGCTGTCCCACTCTGATGCCCCCACCGGAGCCGATGGCCCTGTCCCCAACCCCCTCAGGTCTTCATTAACCTGGCCCTGCTGGTGCGAGAGGCAGAGCTGCGGGGGAGTCCTTCCCTGGCCATGTGGCTGGTCAATGGCTTCCAGTTGCTGTATGTGGGTGATGCCCTCTGGTATGAGGTGAGGCTGGATTGGGCAGGGGAGGCAAGCAAGGGATCCTGAGGATGTCATCTGGACTAAGCCGGTGTGTCTGGGTCCTGTCCCTGCAGGAGTCTGTCCTCACCACCATGGACATAATACACGATGGATTTGGCTTCATGTTGGTCTTTGGAGACCTAGCCTGGGTACCCTTTACCTACAGCCTGCAGACCCAGTTCCTGCTGCACCATCCACAGCCTCTGGGGCTGCCCATGGCCTCACTCATCTGCCTCATTAAGGGTCAGTAGGAGGGCCTTAATCCCCACCCCCTTTCATTCACCCTTTATTCACTACCCATCAGGTATGGTCCAGGCTTTGATGCTCCTCCAAAGCGGGAGCTGGCTCCTGAGTGTCCTAACAGAGCCTGGGATTTGGACAGGCTTGTGGTCAGGGCTAGGCTGAAGGCTTGAACTTCCACCTCACTACCTGATCATACTTTCCCTCAGCTATTGGTTACTACATCTTCCGAGGAGCTAACTCCCAGAAAAACACATTCAGGAAGAATCCTTCTGACCCAAGTGTGGCTGGTAAGCTGCTTCTGCGGAGACTGGGGGGGATGAAGGGGCGGGGCTTTGTGGTTGGAGATGAGGGGCGGGGCTTTGTGGTTCCCTGTCTCATTGGCTCTTTCTCCAGGTCTCGAAACCATCCCTACAGCCACAGGGCGGCACCTGCTGGTATCCGGGTGGTGGGGTATGGTTCGTCACCCCAACTACCTGGGAGACCTCATCATGGCTCTGGCCTGGTCCTTGCCCTGTGGTGAGTAGGTTTGGGGATGATCAGGTGTGGTGACAGGAGGCTCAGTCTGGTGTGCCAGGTAGAAGGAATACTCAGTGGCTGGAGATGGACCTAGTGCCCCACTGTTCACCCTGGGCCTTTGACTGGTGAACCTGACACCTTGTGTGCCTTTAGATGAGAAAGCCCCCCTTCCCCACAGGGGTATCCCACCTGCTACCTTACTTCTACCTCCTCTACTTCACTGCGTTGCTGGTGCACCGGGAGGCCCGAGATGAGCAGCAGTGTCTCCGGAAGTATGGCCGTGCCTGGCAGGAATACTGCAAGCGTGTGCCTTACCGAATCATACCCTATATCTACTGAAGCAGACCCGTCCAACCAGCTCAGGCCTGAACACACCTGGGGTGAAGGGTGCGCCCCAGTCTACTCGGCAGGGATGACCAGCCTCAGAGGAGAACTTTGAAGCAAGAAGTGGGAGCCACTGCTCCCATATGAAGTATTTTCCCTGTTGGATAAATGTGTGATACCTCAGTAAAACCCCCCAC